TCCCTCTAGGCTCATTTTTTCCGTGATTCAGTGAAAAGCAGGGCGTGCTGGGGAACGGTTAAGTCTGACAGCATGCTGACCCCAGACAGCATGCTGACCCCAGGGGGGTTGGCAGACACAGGCAGGGACGAGCTTAGGCATCTGTGTTGACTGAATGCCTTACCTAAAGTATTGTGTCCATCCACGGCCATCATGGAGAGAAACGGGGCCCTGGAGACAGGAATTCAAATCCTGGATGTCATTTATTAGTTGTAGGACCTTGACAAGTACGTTGGTCTCTCTGACCCTCCATAGCTATAAAATGGGAATAATAATACTTGAGTTGTTGGAAAGCACCAGCAGGAATAGCAAAGAGCACTTGGCCAGTGTTCAACAAATGGTAGTAACAAATGTTGAACACCTACCATATGCCTGACACTGTGCAGACACAAAATAAAAGCACTACTCGTGGAGAGAGGCATTATTACGGCATTTGTAGATACATATGTATTTATCTCAAAGCTCCCAAAGTTATAAGCTGTTAAGCAGCCAAGGCTGCAATCAACCTTGGGCCGGCAGTCTCAGCCTCAACCAGCGCTTCTGCAAAGTCCTCTGGGCAGCAAGCCCTGGGGTAGGAACAGGGCCAACCTGCTCTATGAACACCCTCCTGAGGCCAAATGGGGCCAAGCCCAGGTGCTGAGCAGCATGACCCAGATATTCTGAAGGAGCTGCTCTCTCCACCAAGCACCAGCTGGGTGGGTTGGCTCAGGGTCTTTTATCCAAATTCCCCCACATGGGGGTACTTCCATGCTTACAGACCAGGGCTAGTCTTTCTCGTCTCTCTGTAGTTCCAATGATCAGTCACTGGGACCCAAAGCCTGGCCATGGGCAGAGCCCTTAGGAGGCCACAGAACCCCTCGCACCAATACCTAACGGGCAGTAACAAGTAACAGGGCATATTTGAGAAGGCCAAGGAAGTGATGTAGAAATTAAGACTGATGGATTCAAGGAAAGGGGGCAAGAATGCTTTGGGCTGGGGCAGCATATCTGCTACCATGAAAAAGAGGCCACCTATGTAATGGGTCATAAACTCAAATATCTTCAAGAACTGGAATGGCATAAAATTCAGTAAACACGTGAAAACAGGCTCACGCCACAGAACAGGAGATGGTGGACACAACCCGCTCTGGGGCTCCAGACCCTTCTAACACACGCACACGGGAATATTTGTGACTTCTCTCCTAAGCTCAACTGGTATCACCCAAGCTTGAAATCTGCCATTCCTGACAAATGATCTCAGGGGATTTAGAGGTGGGGAGACATTTGGGGATTACAGAGATGGATACCTGTGTGTGCTCGCAGAGGAGACACCTATGGAAGAAGGGCTACGCAGGTATTCCTGCTGGTCCTACAGAACGCTTTAACTGAGCTCTCTTCCACAACTAAGGATCGAATGATGGTATGAGACAGACGGGTGAATCATATGACTTACTGGGGGAAGGTTCTGATTCTGCCTTAGAGCTGATTAAACTGAGTGCTAACTTGGGTCTTTATGGTTCTTTTTTTAAAAAAAAGATTTTATTCATGTATTTGAAGAGAGAGAACAAGCACAAGCAGAGGGGAGGGGCAGCAGCAGAGGGAGAAGCAGACTCCCCAGTAAGCAAGAAGCTCGATGAGGGACTTGATCCCAGGACCCTGGTATCATGAGCGGAGCCAAAGGCAGAAGCTTAACCACCCAGACACCCTGGTTTCCCTTTTCTATCAGCCTCATCCCTGGCTATTTTATTACCATTCTCATTAGCCTTCTCAGCTTGCTTTTAATATTCATCATCCTTCCTTTCCTGCGAGAATATCTCATTATTAAACAGCAGCTGGGAAACACACACACACAAACCACTTACTGGAGTCACCACTTCATCTGTCTTCATTGCAAGTCATTGTACTCTATTTCCTGACCTATACTAGAGGTTTTTTTCCCTATGGTTCACACTTTATTTTCGGAATAGATTTTTTTTTTAAAGAGTCATTACTGCTTCTGCCTCATTTAAAATAAAACAAAGAAATGATCACTGTCCTCACTGTATTACACAAAGTCTAGGGGTTATTTTCAGACCAGGAGAGTGACTCCTTGCTAGGTATTACAGGGAAAGTTCCTAGATTTCTATCACCTCTAAAAGAGAAACCACAAGGGTAATCATAGTTGTTGTCTCCAACAGGGAAAGTGCCAGTTAATAAAAATTGAATGAAATTGTTCTTCCTTTCCCAATCCAAGCCTTAAACTTTTTTCCAGACTCTGGAAACCTGTATTAAACCTATATAAAACGCCAAACCACAATCACACAATACTACCCAACTACCTATAATATAAATTTATACCTTATTCAAACCAGGTATTTTGCTTTTGGCTATAAGCAAGCTTTACAGAGCAAAAAAGGGCAGGATGAAATTATCTACTAATCTTTATTTCTCCCAAACAGCTTACAATAAATACAAGCTAAGGTTATGATGACCATTTCTCCAGGTTGCACTTTTTTCCAGGTTGCACTTTATTGCTAACAGCTCTTACTTCCAAGGGGATTTAAAAACAAAAAAAAAACCAGTATACTCCAAATCGATGCTTTACCAGATTTTGAAACTGACATCTGAAATACTGGTAATTTAACTCTACTTGTGCTTTATAATCTAAACATTCTATAGTTAAAATGCATTCTTAGGCCGGAACCTGGTCAGAATTACTTGGATAAAAGATCACCCACAAACCTCCACTTGATTGACCTGATGGTTGGATTCACCCCCGGTTTCTGGCTTGTGAGATGATGCGGGTTTCTCATACTTGTACTTCTCCTCATACTTATACTTATGAGATGTAGTTCTCATACTTCTCATACTTTCTCATCCCTGGGCAGGCTGGCTGACAGCCAAGTCCCCTTCACCCATCCGCCATTGCCTCAACCGACAAGCATGCTACAGGCAGTCCAGCCTTTTTTGGTCTTGCTGCCTTGAGGGCAGCAAAAACCAGCTGAACCCAACTTCACTCTGTCACAAGTAGGCAGGGGATTTCAAGGATCATAAAGTTAAGGTGTGCTAACCTAAGATCAAGTTACAGGTCTTAAAGTCATCTGAAGTCATTTAAATTATCTGAAATTAAAGACAGCTTGGCTGCTGAGTGTGAAGCATCCTGTGTGGCCCTAAAATAGGAAATCCAATCTGAACATAAATGATCTCTTGCCAGTTCTCCAAATGGCATGGTTCTGGCAAATTAGAGAAAGCAGTATCATTTTGATAAAATCCCATAGCTAGAATCTGACCCGACCACATCTCTCCTACTCTCCCTTGGTCACCCAGCTCTAAAATAGTATCATCCTGTTATATCTCCTCCACAGACAAATGGAACATTTGAGCAGGTTTCCACTTGACTTACATTCTGCAATCTTCCTTTCACCTTGACACTATGATTTTCACATGAAAAGGTAGCAAGCAATTTGGCCTTCTCAGAGAACGCGTCTTCCAAAGATGCAATTTTTACCTGATCAGTTATGTTGGCTGGAGAGTATATAATTTCATGGTATAAAGAGTAATGCTATCTTATTACTTTCAAATTATAAAGATGTATTATAAAGTAAAATGCAAGAAAGAAAAATCACAACAGGTTTAAGATGCTTTTGTGCTTTTTGTATAATGGGATTCTCAAGAAGTAAGGGGCACATTTTCTATTGGCTTTCAAATTTGTAACTTGCACCCTTCACAGAGCCAACTCCAAGAACTTCCAGATGATTTCAGTGGCAACAACCAAATCTTCAAGAGCACACATGACTAATGAAAGTTTTGCTCATCTTGCCTCCTCAAAAGGCCCACATCACTAGACTTTCCTTTGGCTACTTTAAATAGACTTACTCTAAGCCTGTTGGTTCCCCTAAAAGATTTTATTTTTCTTTTGCTCAACAGTTATTTCCCCTTGTTCCAGAGCTTTTCTGTGCATTCATTCATTCATTCATTCATTTATTTTTAAGAGAAGAAAACACAATCTTTAATGAACCCACCTGCACAGAAACCAGGGAACACTGCCTGCCTCAAGGTCCTAGTGGGAAAAAAACTTGGTCCCTTGCAAAAACCTTCTTATAAAAACAAAAGGCTTCAAAGCACCAGTGGCTAAACCCATTGAGTAGAAAGGAGGCTGGGAAGTGGGGGTGGGAGGAGAGGGCTGGAGGCAGGAGTTGGCCTGGAAGCAGGATGGCAGCCAGGCCCGAAGGGAGCTGCCCCCTTCTTGAGTGGAACCCCTAGCTACCTGGGTAGACCATATGAGACCTCAGTGCCTGGGGTGGCCAGTGGAATTCCTGGGGCTGGCTCCTTGGCACAGCACTGCAGAGGGGATTTTCTGTGCTTTTTAAGTATTAATTACTACAGTTCTGCCAGAACAATCACCATACAAGTGGCTGCATTCATGAAGCATTAACTCTTAATCACTAGTACTCATGCAATTCACTACCCTTCTTAATTTGCATCAGTCTTACATTGGAGACACACAAAAGTACTGAACTTTCCAACATACTTAAGAAATGTTTACAACAGTGGTTTTTTTTTTTTTTACAAGTCTTTAATTAAAAAAACTCAAAAATATATAATCAAGCATTTTACATAATGCATACATTCTTAATATCTGCAGGTAAGATAAATAACAGAAGGCAAAAGCAGATACACTGGATTGCTTCTCTTTGGCAAATCACCAATATTACCCCCTGCAGAAACATGATACATGTAAAAAAAACATAAAAATAAAAATAAAAAAGCAAAACCATTAAAATTGTCCCTTAGTACAAATAACAAAGTATTTACCAATAATACAGTAGATGGAATTTTCAAATTGACTAAAATTGGTAATACTTTTTATCACGGGGTTGAAGTAGCAAGCTGCTTTCCAAAATTAAGGCCCGCAGCAATGATTATATAGTTATGGCGGGGGGGGGGGAACACGATGAGGGACGGACAGATGGACATGGACACACACACACACACACACACGCTTTTCCTAGTTATACCCTGGCTCTGTTTTTATTTAATGATGTCACATTCAAATTCTACCTCTCGGATGCCATTCCTAAAGAAAATAAGATCCTTTCCCTGTGGGTTTTACCTGCAGATCAGATGCCTGACTCCTCCCACTCGCAACCAAATTTGTATTTTAAAAAATCAGGAACCAGCTTTCTTTAGCCAGTATTTACCATCTAACTCAGTGGCCCAGAATAAAAAAATTCCTTCCATTTTATAGTGAAGCTAGGTATTGCAGCTCTACTGAAGCAGTATATACATGTTGGAACTAAAAGTTAAAAAAGCAGAAGGGTCCATTCAACATGTAGCAGCTTTTATCTAAATATATACATGTATGTATATGGTTTCACAGTTAAATTTTAGGAAAAAAAAATTTTACATGTGATATGTCTGGAAACAGTTCTCCTATAGTCTATAAATAATATTTTAATATGCTCAAATGATCAAAATGCACAAGAATGTATCAAATTAAATAAGTCTTCTAAACCTTGAAGAACAGATACTTGAAGTCAGTCAAGCTTGAGGTTTGTGTCAAGTGTGCTCTGTCAGACCCTAGGACGAGGGAAGACAGAGCCCTCTAGAGACGATAGGAGAGAAACTCCAAAACTTTGGAAGGAATCGGTAGCTCCTGGACCTCTTGGGTGGGCATCACTCTCCGGATCGACATGCGACACAAATGTTGAAGGCTAGGAACTTGCCTCGGAGTGGCCCAGAAATAGACACTTCCATCATGTGTCCTAAACAGAAAACAACAAAAAACATCACAAGCTCAGGCACCTTCGTACACATATTTCAGCATCCTACAGCTCAAACTAACATCCGAGGCTGTGTATGACAGTCACAAACTACACACTAAAACCTAATTAAGGAAGACTAACCAATGATCTTCCTTATGACAACATAACAGTATTGTAAGAAACCCTTATGGAAAACTTAGTGATAATAAAAACTGGCTGCTTTGACTAAAAGCCACCTCAGGGCACCTGGCTGGCCCGGTCAGTTAAGCATTGGACTTTGGCTTGGGTCATGATCTCAGGAGCCTGGGATGGAGTCCCCCATCCGGCTCTCTGCTGTGCAGGGAACCTGTTTCTCCCTCTGCCTGTCTCTTCTACCCTTCCTCCATCTCTCCCTGTCAAATAAATAAATGAAATCTAAAAAATAAAATAAAAGCCACCTTAAATTAAACTGCCTCTTAAAGAAAATAGAAAAATCAATTTACCCAGCAGCTAAAACACTGCCATCAGTAGAAAAGGCACAGCAAAGACCATTGCTCAAAGGTGCAACTTGAACTGGATAATCCTCATCAATTCTCCAGAACCTCACCATTCTAGAAAGGAAATAAGTTATCCACTGAGTATCTAGCAGGATATTTAAGGTAAAAGCAACATTAATACTTCAGACAAAAAATGCCACTCTGAGTCATAAAATACACACCACACATAGATACACACAGTCACTGCAGCAAGCAATTACTCTAACTCAATTACTCTAACTTGCTTTATAAAGTATTTTCTAGCCTATACCAATCAGTAATTTGGATCAACTCACACTTAAGAGACTATAATGCATGGCTGCCTTCCCTTCCCAGTGTTCAGATCCATAATGGTCACAAGCAGAATCCTTCTCCTTATACTCAATATCTGAGAATTTGCACAGCCAAATGAAATTTCTTTGGCAAACAGGGATGTTATATTAACATTATGTAACAACATTACAAAATCAAAAGACTAATTTATGAAAATACTATAATTAACAACACGTCTGTGAATCAAGATCTGCCAATCTTATTTTTCCAAAAAGCAGAAAGGGTTTTACTCTCTTCCCAACACATTTAAAAAACCTTTTCAGGAACGTCTGGGTGGCTCAGTGGGTTAAAGCCTCTGCCTTCGGCTCAGGTCATAATCCCAGGGTCCTGGGATCAAGCCCTGCATCAGGCTCTCTGCTCAGCAGGGAGCCTGCTCCCCCGCCACCCACCGCCTACTTGTGATCTCTGTCAAATAAATAAATAAATAAATAAATATCTTAAAAAAACAAAACAAAAACAAAAACAAAAACAAAACCTTTTCACGGAGGTAGAAGGTGTCTAGAAACAGCAGAGACTGGATATTCAAAATCTGAACAGAGAAACAGTGATTGCTGGCAAAAACAAAAACAAAAAAACAAACAAAACAACACTTTCTCTGTTCTGGAAAGACAACAGTGACTCACTTTCTGAATTAATGTGACCAAATTAATTAATACTGTATACCATACACATTGTATAATAAAAGCATGAGCAAAAGGAATGGTGCTACCTAGGTTCTGCTTCATACCAATAAGTAGTACACCTCACTCATGTGACATTTCATCTTGTAGCCTCAAAAGCAGTGGACACAAGTGACTCTGCTTTTACCATTTATTTCACTTTGAAAATGTCATTCTGCTTCAACCTTTACAAGGTATTACTGAAAAAAAAAAAAGACCCAGTTTGCCTACACTAGTTAACACACAAGAAACACAGGGAAAGGCATGGATTATCTTTAGTTTGCACAACTCTTCTTCTTCAGGCTAAAATTCTTTAAGACACACATCTCTCAAAGTCTTGTCTGGAGAAACAGACACTAAAACCCACACTGCAGAAAGACTTTTTTTTTAAGCCTTGAAAATGTTTCCAGTAAGTAGAAAGATGAAAGTAAATCTTTAAAAGACAGTAACAGGTCAAACTATAATTCACACACTTACTTATCATCAGCAAGGCTTGCAACATGCAGTCCATCATGACTAAAAGACACAGACCGTACCCATCGGTCATTTGCTCCTCCAGCAAATATTGGAGTAGGTGGGGGAAACAGGTGCCTGAGGTCAAATACATGTTTCCAGTGAAAATGAGAGTCACTTCAAGAAGCAAAACTACCCGGGTACAAAATATATCTGTCTCTGAATAATGTTTGAAGAGGCCTTAATGACCACAGCTGAGGAGACTGAGCAGAGCTGATTCAAATTAAATGAAAGGAACCTTAAAAGAATTACTAATCTTCTTTTCACAATGTGGTTTAAGACACTAAGATTAACTCCAACGTCAGTTTCAACTGTTTTTCAAAAACCTTGACATGAAACTCTAAATATAATTATCACTTCTACAGAGTCATATACTGTCTAATGACAGTAACATGATCTGTATCAAGAGAGCCAAATTTGTTTTTAGAGTTTTTATCTAAAGCTCTTATTATTCAAGGACTTAAATAATACTGAAATTTAAAACTATGACAGACTACAATTTTAAGTCTCACATGTTAGTGATTCCAATCATTCATGTAGTTTCTTAAAAGTTATACTAACAGCCAGAGATGAACCACAGACAACAATTAATTCATGCTGTACCCACCCAAATTCCATCACAATGTGTCCAGTATGTGGATCCCAGATATATACTCGAGTATCATAAGATGCAGTAGCCAGTAATGCTCCATCAGGAGAAAAGTCACAAGCTACAACATCATGGTGGTGTCCTTCTAGTTTCCGTATCATGGTATATTTATCCATATTCCAAAGGAAAACCTGCAATAAAAAGGCAAATGTTATAGCTTCATTCAGACACACAGAGGACAAAATGGCACAACTTAATATAAAATAACTAAATTTAATTAACATTATATTAAACATTATAAATTATGAATAATTAAAAGAATATGTATGCTCAGTGTCATAGATTAAAAAATCAGCCTTTAAGTTAATTAAAGTAGACATGCAAATTCTATTTCAAATGTTTCTGTTAAATGTTAATTTAAAAATAAGCCTAAACATAAAAAAGGCAATGCAATTTTTAACCACAAAGTTATACTGAAATCCATTTATTCCAAAAACTAATTAACTAAAATATATACAGAAATAAATAGGGTTAAGTACTACAAACCCTTCTTTTTTTTCCCAGAAACTACCAAATTTTTAAAAAATATACAGACAGAAAATGTAACGTTAACAAATTGTTACTCCATTGGCATCTCCCTTTGAGATAATCACTTGTTTACAATAGGCTTGGGTCACCAACGTGAGCCTAGGAAGAGAAACAGATACTGCAAGCAAAGAGAATTTTCACAGCCAAATGAAATTTCTTTGGCAAACAACAAGGATGTTAAACCACATTACAAAATGAAAAGACTAACTTATGAAAATATTACAATTAACATGTCTGTGAATCAAATTTGCCAATCTTATTTCCCAAATAGACCACAATCATTAGTCATTTTAAATATAAAACATTTAAATTACTTTAGTACAAGTTTACACATAGTTTTCGATTCTATAAGATCAATACTCAGACTGTGCAGAATAGTTCTGAATAGGATTTAAATGTTTACGTCAGTCTAGTTGTATTAAATACAAGCTTGGAGGTTTACAACAATCCTAATAAGACAATCTCTCCTCTTGGAATAAAGCAATCCTTTTTGCTACTTTTTTCTGCACAGAAACAATATTTTTACTTCCAAAGAAAAATAAATACAAATTTTAAGTTGGATCAAAGTCTTACTGTATCTCTAACATCTCAAAGAATTCCAAAAAATAGCACAGAGAAACCATTTGAAAGCCAATTACATTACATTAAATTGGTTTCACATGTCAGACTCCCAATTCCACAAGACTGGAAGATCAATTTACTTGGAGTCAGTGGGTTTCACTGCGGGGGAAATCACTTTAAAAAAGAAAAAAAGAAAGAAAGAAAAGCAGAAAGTGGACATCGACCAGCACCTGTGTACGTACAGTACACCTTGCAGCCGAATGCAAGGTTACTTCATCCTATGGTAAAGGTCGCCCCCAGCCCGGTAGCCAGAGATGCCACTCTTTCTGCCCAGCTAACACCATTGTGCGCCTGTGTGCGAGTGGTGCCAGCATAACCTCAATCACACCAATATTGCTGCCACCACCTGTGACAGGGAAAGCAAGAAGCATATGGAAAACACACAGCCTAAAATAGCAATGTCAATATCCAGCTTTGTTCTTATGAATTTTAAAGAACTGAATACTTTTTTCCTAAACTTCTAATATTTCCAACTATTATTTTAACATACTTCTTGGCTAAATAAAATGCATTTAAAACCAGCCTCCCACCCCCAGTAATTCAGAGTGTTTCTGAATACCCCACAGATTTGGACTCCACCATTTTTCATAAACATCTGAAGCTAGTAAGATCTCTTTAATTACACTAAGAGCTGGCAGACAACTAAAAGAGTTCATTAAAAAGCATAACCCTCTCAAGAGTCACTTTATACTTAATCTGTCCACAGGTATGCTATGCCAGACAGACCTTGTCAATTTCATCTATAATTCACTCTACATATACTATTAGATTTTTAAGTTACTTTTTTTCAGTTAAATGTCCAGGACCAGCTGGGAATCAAAACTTTTTAAACAGCAAACTGGACAAAAAAAATAGAACAACAGAGAAGAATTAGCGGTAATGTCTTAACATTTGGACTAGGTCTCTTCTATAGCACATAAACTTTACTATAGCACATAAACTTTCCTAGATCTTCGAAAAAGTAAAATTGACATACCCCTTACTTTATGAATATTATCGCTGACTAAAAGCAATCCAATTTCTCATTCCACAATCAATAACTATATTTAATTTCCCTCATGCAAATTCTCCATCATGAAATAAAATACTTAAGATATTCATGACACCGAGCACAGACTTAACAGATTACTTAGATTTAAAATGATTATGCACACATCATTACAATCCAGTTCACAATGAATGTACAAGAACTTTGATACATACTGCTTTACTGGCTCCCACTGAACACAGCATAGAAGAGTCAGGAGAGAATGCACAGCTATACACCCAGTTCTGATGGCCCCTGAATACTTTCATCATGTTTCCTGAACAAAAAGAAATACCTGTGTTAACCTTAGAGTTCACTTCAAATGAGCAGCATTTCAAAAATGGCAGAATCACAGATTACAAAATTCTATAGCAGCTGTGACTTATCTGTAAGTAGGGTTGGATATAAACCAACTGCTTATTTTGTAAAGTTCTACTGGAACACAACCATGCCCATCTGTTTATGCTGTGCTACAGTGGCAGAGGTAACTAAGGCAGAGACAGCATGGTCCATGAACCTAAAATAGTTACCACCTGGCCCTTTAGGGAAAAGTCTGCTGACCCTTCACCTATAGAAGATAGAATTCTTTTAGTCTAATACACTTATTCTACAAATGAAGGAACTGGAATACTTCAAAGCTGAGACCTGAGGAACAACTTCAAAATGCCTTTCATCCTTCCTTTCTGATAACCTACATTCCATTCCAAAGCCCCTGTGCATTATATCTAAACCACACAATTATGTCTACAGATATTTTAATTCTTAGTTCTACAAATACTTACTGAATGCCTACTATGTCAGGCACTGAGGAGACAGCCATGAATAAGACAAAGTCCCAACTCTCTTGAGTTTATATTTTACTGAATTCGTATTATTTTTTGAGGGGTGGGAAGGGGAGAGAGGGAGAGAGAATCCCAAGCAGGCTCCATGCCCCAGCATGGAGCCCAATGGATGGCTCAGTCTCACAACTCTGAGGATCATGACCTGAGTTGAAATCAAGAGTCAGATGCTTAACCAACTGAGCCACCCAGGCGCCCCTGAGTCTGTATTCTTAAATGCACACAACTGAAAATGTGTTGAGGGGCGCCTGGGTGGCTCAGCGGGTTAAAGCCTCTGCCTTCAGCTCAGGTCCTGATCCCAGGGTCCTGGGATCAAGCCCCACACTGGGCTCTCTGCTCAGCAGGGAGCCTGCTTCCTCCTCTCTCTCTCTCTCTGCCTGCCTCTCTGCCTACTTGTGATCTCTGTCAAATAAATAAATAAAATCTTAAAAGAAAATAAAAGTTTAACCACCAAATTGTTGTAATTGTTGGGATCTCTCCACCCCTCAACAGCCGAAAATTCAGAGAACACTAAGATGCAAAGGAGGTCCGCCATGGTTCGGTAAGACAAGCATATTATTTCGTCAGGCAATGGTTATAGACAATCGGCTGGAACAAGTCTCCAAACCCCAGACTTTTGTTTCCTACTACCTTCAGTTTAAGTCAGCAATACTTCTAAGCAAGCCCTTAACCTTGAGCCTGAGGCTCTCAGAGCACTATCAGATCTTAAATATAAGGTGTTAGCTAAAACTGTAAACTTTCTCATTAGCGGCTAAGAAGCAGAAAGAGATGCTCATCTCTGGTCCTCTTAAATGAGGTGGACTCTCCCAAACTTTCTATGCACTGCAATTAACAAAGTTTCAGATAAAACCCGAGTACTTAACACTAACATACCTTTTATTTATCTTTTTATTTACAGATTTTTATTTGTCAGAGAGAGAGAGTGTGCACAAGCAGGGGGAGCAGCGGGTGGAGGGAGAAGCAGGCTTCCTGATGAGCAGGGAACCCAATATGGCCTAACTGAGCCACCCAGGTGTCCCTAACATACCTTTCATTATCTTGGATAGCAAGTCTTTCAGTAATTTCTTACTTAACCTATCCAACTTATTATTATGCTTATAAGCTTTTAGTTATAAATCCTGGTATATAAATGTCTTAATCTAAATTTTATTAGATTACTAAATTATATATAACTTCGAGACCTACTTAAATTTTTGCTAAGCAAATGAAGTTAACAACCTTCCCTAAGATGAAGGAAATAAACACAGACCAGTTAATTTATAAAACCCTAAAACTGACCCAGATTTTGTCCTCATATAGCTGATACAGATCTGTGTGGTTAGTTTCTGAGTAATATAAGATTGTTTAGAGTAACTGCTGGTTCCTGTTCTGGGTCATATTTATGGTTGCATTTGATCTGCACAAGGGAAGGGATCAAACAATTAAAAGAGAAGAGGAAACTTTGATCATAGGCCACTTTTAAAGTCAAACACCCCAGATGATCGACACTTCTTGGCATCTCTCATTAATGATGTTAAGAAACTCATTCTGTTTCACAGCTTGTAAAAAAGACATACCATCATCTTTCAGGTCCCAGACTCTCAGAGTTTTGTCTCTTGAAGCTGATACTAGGATCAAGCTCCCATCTGGAGCAAAAGTTAAATCTCTGACCACTTCAGTATGATCTACCAAGTTAAGGAGGAGTTTTCCTAAATCCAATGGAAGAGGGGAAAAAAGACAGTGTTGTTAATTTTTATCAGCTTCTCTTTAAAATAGGGTTCTTCACCATAAAAAATTATATAGATATGTAGAAATACTTGTCACCTCCTGAGTCTCCCAAGCATAAAGTGACTTAATAGTGCTTTTACTATCACCTTTAAAGATTCTCTATTTACACAGTTGTAAAATGGATTATTTCCAGGATAACAAAACCTAAATTTATTAGATCAGCCTAGAGAGAATTCCTGAAATGCAAACAAGTTATTTTCCCATCAGGAAAACCCACATTATCATTTTTAAATCTTTGTACAGTATGATTTTAATATAAAACCAAATTTTCCCTTTTCTTTTCCTTGGCCTTGGATTACTAAGACTGTCCAACTCCCCAAAAGATTCATGTTATCTCACAACAACCTAAATTTTCAAGAATAATCAGTGAAAAAATATGCTTTATGCATCTAATATTGAGAGTTTTGTTTTCTATGAAAATCTATGTGCGTTCCTTCAATTTTTTCAAGAATCCAATCAAATTTACTGATTCACTGTCCTCATTCAATAGTAGCATCACCTGCTGTGTTCTATTGTACCTAGTTTTCCCACTCATTTTAAAAAATGTCTTCAAATTTTTGAGTACATACCATCAGCCAAACTGTTTTAGTCAGTGAATATCAAGTTCACTTTTAATTGCCCAAAGAATTTACCTTCTGAACCTATCTGGTTAAACTTTAAATACAATGTCACTAAAACTTCCAAAGGTTAGACAATAATTTTAAAACCAGATTTGCATTGAAAGCCTCCAAGCTATCAACTGAAAAAGTATGTAAGAAAACACCCTGCCATTTGAGTCATAAACTAAATTATTAATTTATAAATTAAATTAAGGATTAAAATTTAAAATTAATGTTTATTCCTTAGACATGTCCTTCTTGCTGTAATATTCTCTGAAGAGTGACCAAGCAGTGAGAACTCTATTCATAAAATAAAACCATGAGCAGAAGATGCTATGGAGGCCAATCATAAAGACACATTCATAGCATCAATTCTTGCTTTTCAGCAAGTTAATCTCAAATCTTATCTTCTAGTGCCTATGAGAGATGCCCTGAATCACAAAATAATCAGGTTTGCTTTTCAAACTATGGCCCTGTACCTGTATATACATCCCATATTTTGATACGCCCATTGTTTAATCCTGTGGCAAGGAGCAGCTGATCCTGTCCGAATCTGAATCGATGCCATTCTATATTGACACAGCGACTCTGTTTTTCTGGAACCGAAGATCCAAAAGCAAGACTCCAGACTATGTCACCACAGTCTATAATATGTTCACGAGGTTTATTTTTCTGACCACCATCGCTATTTTGTCTTGACAGTCTCAAACCGCTTGAATTGGTGATATTCTTGGTGCCATGCAAGAGACTGAGGGGGAAAAAAGGTCAGATTGACATCTAGTTATTATGAACTCTGGACTCCTGCAGATACTAAATGATAAATGTTTGTTAAAATAACCTCAATTATTACCATAATGATACTGAGTTAACAATAGAATTCTATGGATGGGAAGGAGATATTTGCAATTAGCTATGAGGGTATGACCAAATAAATTCAAACCAACAGACATTTTCAGTTGCTGAGAGATTAAGTTTAACATTAAGCAATGTATAATTTCTTTGTGTCAAAATTTTCCTCAAAACCACTATAATCAATTAGGACTCCTTTAGCTAACCTAAAGTAAGTGTAACAAGCAAAAAACAAAACAAAAACCCTGATTAACTTAAGATATTTATATAAAGGTCAACTAGACACAAAAAGGATGAGATTAAATTTAATATGTATTTTTAAAAAACTTTCAATAAATAAACAAATCCAAGCAGAGGAATTTTAAGTACATAAAAATAATTAATTACACGATCACCATACTGCTGTTATCTAATAAAATGTTGTGAAATTCAAAAAGCGTCACATAACAAAAGGTCCTCTTCCCTTGCTTAAGGCAATATAGACACTACCAAGGAACCAGTAATCTGCTTTTTAATACAAAGACACAAAAGCATCTGAGAAAGTAGTCCATAACGTAAAAGGTCAAACAATTCTTCTCACAAATTTTCCAATAAATATATTCAGTTTATGATTAAGATACACTTACAATACCCTACACTACAAAGAAAAACTTAAATATCACAATCTTTCTATTACTCCACACAGATAACAGTAAATTCTACAAAGACATACAATATACAAATTAGAAGAGAGTCTTACAAGTTCTTAAGGCACTGGGACCAGGGAACAAGCTTTACTGTACGATGTCCTTGTGACCAAGCAAAGTACGAACCATCTGGAGCAAAAGCAACAGTCCAATTTTCACGACCACATTTCTTGTCAAAGGGAGCTGCTGGAGCTAGAAGTTCACCTATAGTACGTGATCTCACTAAAAGAAGAAAAGATACAGAGGACATCACATATAACCAATAATGAATCTGAGACTTCCTCAATATGAATTTGGGACTCTCAACTTCATTGAGTTTCGATGCAGACAAGGTCTAAGGAGTTCTGATTTCTACCCTTAATGATAGTAACTATCTTCAAGTTTTTTTTTTTTTAAATACTTTTTTTTTTTAAGATTTTATTTATTTATTTGACAGACAGAGATCACAAGTAGGCAGAGAAGCAGGCAGAGAGAGAGGAAGGGAAGCAGGCCCCCTGCTGAGCAGAGAGCCCGATGCGGGACTCGATCCCAAGACCCTGAGATCATGACCTGAGCCGAAGGCAGCGGCTTAACCCACTGAGCCACCCAGGCGCCCCTATCTTCAAGTTTTGATAAAGTGGTTTTCCAACATCTCCCCACCCAAGAGCTTGTTTAGAAAGCTTCAATTAAAAAACCTGCTTAAGGGGCACCTGGGTGGCTCAGTGGGTTAAAGCCTCTGCCTTCCTCTCAGGTCACGATCCCAGAATCCTGGGATAGAGCCCTGCATTGGGCTCTCTGCTCAGCAGGGAGCCTGCTTCCTCCTCTCTCTCTCTCTCTGCCGGCTTGTAATCTCTGTCAAATAAATAAACAAAATCTTCAAAAAAAAAAAAAAAAAGCAAGCCCTGGTTAAGGTACTGTAATATCAGGGTTAGCAATTACTCAACTCCTGACTTTTGCACTGCCTTATGTTTTCATCAAAATACTGACATTTAAAATGCAACAGGCCAAACTCACTTTGTAAGGAAAGTATCTTCCAATAAGTTTGTAATTTTCAAAAACCACAAACCACTATAAAATACAATACTATATCATTATTCAAAGGAAAGCAATATTAAGTGGTCTATTTAAACATGATATTCCTTTTTTTTTTTTTTAACTTTTTAAAGTTACCTCCAAACCCAATGAGGGGCCTGAAGTCACAACCCCAAGACCAAGAGTCACATGCTCCACTAACTGAGCCAGTCAGGCGCCCTAACATGAATATTTTTTCAGGCCCCAAAAATCATAAAATCATAAAACTCCTAGAACTAGAAAGGACTTAATGGTTATTCAGTACAATCTCCCAATTGCTGCTTTAAAATGTATTACGTTTGTGATCCTCAAACATCTTAATAGTGGGCCATAAACTGACCAAAAATGGAAGTAATTCTTTTGTTTTTTAAGGACAGAGAATAAACAATCTCATATGTTTGTAATTTAATTAAGACTACTTAAATTTAGGGGCACCTGGATGGCTCAGTCAGTTAAGCGGCTGCCTTTGGCTCAGGTCATGATCCCAGGGTCCTGGAAGAGCCCATCCAGGTGCCCTGCTCCATGGGAAATCTGCTTTTCCCTCTCCCTCGTGAGCTCCCCCTGCTTGTGCTCTCTTGCTCATGTGCTCAAATCTCAAATAAATAAATAAAATCTTGAAAGAAAAAAAAGGTACCTATATTTATCATTCATAACAAAAACTGGCACATTATCAGAGTACAGAGACTTTTCGTTCGCATTTAACAAGAAGCGTTGTCAACAAGCTCTTACTATACATTTGTGTATGCAAACTTGGCCAGAATTTCCTCAACTTGGGTAAAGAATCTTTATCAGTCACTGTATCACCACTGCTCTCTTGGGCTGGCCTTGATTTCAAATTTTGCTATTCTTCCTTTTCAGGTATAAATTAGTATCTCTTTAGTTTCCCTACTTTCTATTCAGTGATTAGTTCTCTGGTTAACTATTTTTAGGTTTTGGGCTTAAACTTCCCAACAACTAAACTACATATATCCTATGTACTGCAGTTCAAATAAGAACCACTTATGCTCTTATTGCTAGAGCAGATATATACATACACCGGCCCCCCATGTACTCGTTCAGGTGACACTTCAAGTCTCAATGTGTGCTCTGTCAACAGCCAGTGGAGCACCTGGCATATGACAGGTGATCAGTAAATATTTACTGAGTGAATATAAAAGCACATGTATAAGCTCCCATTCTTAAATGATTTCAACATTTCCTTGTCCAAGTTTTTGATACATTAACAAACAAGCTATGGTTTAAAAAGTAAAACAGGGGACCCTGGGTGGCTCAGTGGGTTAAGCCTCTGCCTTCAGCTCAGGTCATGATCTCAGGGTCCTGCCTTATATCGGGCTCTCTGTTCATCGGGGAGCCTGCTTCCCCCTCTCTCTCTGCCTGCCTCTCTGCCTACTTGTGATCTCTGTCAAATAAATAAATAAAATAAAAATAAAGATAAAAAGTAAAGCAGGGGCACCTGGCTAGCTGAGTCAGCAGAACGTGTGACTGCTGATCTCGGGGTTGTAGGTCTGAACCCCATGTTGAGTGTAGAGTACTCAAAAATAAAATCCAAAAAAATACATATAAAAAGTAAAACAAAATTGAGACCTATTTTTTCTATGATATTCAGAAATATGAATACCTAATAGGGCTTACTGTGTTTTTGTGGAACTGACATTATCAAAAATTTTCCTTCTGATGACTCAAAAATCTTCCTCCTAGGGCGCCTGGGTAGCTCAGTCAGTTGAGTGTCTATCTACCTTTGGCTCCAGTCATGACCCCAGGGTCCTGGGATGGATCCCTGCATTGGGCTCTCTGCTCAGCGAGGAGTCTGCTTTCCCTTTGTGCTCTCTCTCAAATAAATAAAATCCTTAACAAAAAAATAAATCTTCCTCCCTGCCTTTGGGCTCTCCCTTTCTCTTTGTGCTCTCTCTCAAATAAATAAAATCCTTAACAAAAAAATAAATCTTCCTCCTTGCCACTCGACCCACTCAGTCCTGGTTCTGACCTAAGAGAAGAAGCTTAGTCCTGCTCTCACATGACAGTCATATACTGAAGACAGCCATGACATCAGCAAGTAAATCTTTTCATTTATAAATAAATAAACTGCCATAGGCCTTTCAATCACTCCTTAGTTTACATGGTTTCAAGTCCATTCCCCAACTTTGCCTACAATACTTCTCTGGAGAAACTCCAGTTGGTAATGGTCTTCATAAAAGTGGCACCCAGAACTAAACACAACACCTCAGGTGTGGTTTGATCAAAGGGGCAGAGCCCCCACCTACTCCCCACCCTTTATGGATAAGTGTATTCATAAAGCATAAGGTGACATTATTTTCACCAGCAGTTACATGACTTTAACATAAAATTCACAAACTAGTGACCCTCATATGTCTGCAGAATGATTTCCTTTCTTTCCTTTTTTTTTTTTGAAATATACAAATGATTTTTTTAAACTATTTTTTTTAAGCTTTTATTTATTTGACAGAGAGATCACAAGTAGGCAAAGCAGCAGGCAGAGAGAGAGGGGAAAGCAAGCTCCCTGCTGAGCAGAGAGCCCGATGCAGGGCTCGATCCCAGGACCCTGAGATCATTGCCTGAACTGAAGGCAGAGGCTTACTTAACCCACTGAGCCACCCAGGCACCCCTACAAAATGATTTTTTTGAAAGGGCTTGCTGTTCCTTATAGTCCTCCAAGGCCACACACATAGATGGTTAATCTCACCATGGTAGTTCATGTGCCTGATTCCTGAATTTGCATCCCCTGCCTAAATCTTTTTTTTTTTTTTTTTTAATATAACTTGGGTTTCTGTTTAATCCTATCTTTTGAAGGAAAAAGAAAGTTTGTAAGTCAGGGAAACAAGTTTTAAAATTCAACTGGAAAAAAAATTTTTTTCAACCAAAAAACCCAAGCATCTTCAAGAGAAAACCCCTAGCTAAACTTGATGAGTATATTCTTGTAACTTCTATCTCAAAAAAATAGAAGACTGGCCCTTATATTCAACTTTAAAAACATCTGGTTCATTAGACTAGAACACACCACTCCTTTAGCAAGCAAGATTAACCTTCCCATAAGACTTTTTTTACTTTAGCATCACTCTATTTTTCTTTTACCTTGACCACAATCACAAAACTCCTCTGGTATAAAGGTGGAAATTAACAACTAAAAATTGTTTCAAATAACAAAGACCATGAACTAATAAGCTAATTTATTCTTAAACACATAGACATTCAAGAAATGGGGTCATTATTTTAAAACTACCAAGTAAGGGGTATCTGGGTGGCTCAGTGGGTTAAAGCCTCTGCCTTCAGCTCCGGTCATGACCTCAGGGTCCTGCCCTACATCTCTCTCTGTTCATCGGGGAGCCTGCGTCCTCCTCTCTCTCTGCCTGCTTCTCTGCCTACTTGTGATCTCCGTCTGTCAAATAAATAAATAAAATCTTAAAACAAACAAACAAACAAACAAAACTACCAAATAAATAAATGCTATACTGTCACAAGTATTAGCAATTAAATTGGTGTTTCCTTGCTTGTTAACAGGCACATCAAATGATTTCTCCCCCTCCCCCAATGATCTTTGCCATCAAATGATTCAAGCACTCATTCAGATACTTACTGGTACAATATTATCTACAATATTATCAAGTAGCACAAGGTTATAATGAAGTGCTTTGAAAAAAAATTTTTTTAAGTTAAACCTTTATGACCTGCAGCTGTTTAATGTGAGTATCGTAAGAGATACATGATTTAACGACCTTGTATAAGGGAAAAGCTGCCTGCCATGGGAACTCAGCCATAAAATACAATTATCTGTACAGTAGTAACACACTGAGTTACTGCTGAACCAAGTGAACCAGATTTAGCTCCTTCTTCACATTCCTCTCAGCAATTTCATAACCAGAAAGGAAGGATCTGTGGTGGTGCCTTGTGAAAGAGGGCAGCAGCTTCAGGCAGTACTCCCTGTCTCACAAGACTTCTTTAATCAGTCTAGGAATCTTGCTTCTCCTCTTTCAGCACTTGATAAACTGAAGAGCTATAATTAATACTCAAGAAAAAAAGGGGAAAAGCTAAGTCCTTACTGAAAGATACAAAGCTACACAGAGATATTACTGTTTAACTCTGTATCCAAATGCTACTTCCAAAGAAACAAAGAAACAAAAAATGGGCTGGTGTGTGTGTGTGTGGGGGGGGGGGGGGTTCTAAAGCTTAGAAAAGGCCGAGGTTCTTTCAGATATTTGGCACCTGGCTAATAATTTTATACTACAGCCAGCAAATAACACTGAGATGTTACTAAATATGAAAAATGTTAACTGCAAAGGCTATTACTTAGTGTGGCTGGTTCTTCTACCTTATGCAGGTATGCTCAGAAGCTCTACTCAGCCGTTGGAAGGCAGGACTGGAAAGTTTTCAAAATAGTTCATCAAGATAAAGTAAAACAGATAAATGAAAGGCAGATCACTTATCTGTGATACTATCATGTAGCAGAGGAGGAAAAAAGCCCACTGGACTCCATTGGACTAAAGAACTTCTGGGTTCCATGTTCAACTTCAGCACCTACTTACTAGTCTTAAAATACAGTTAAAATAAAAAGTAGGCATGAATTTTGTTTTCCCTGTGTATTTATTTTTTTAAAGTTTTATTTAAATCTTTAAATAAATAAATAAATAAATTTGACAAGAGATCACAAGTAGGCAGAGAGGCAGGCAGGCAGAGAGAAAGCAGGCTCCCTGCTGAGCAGAGCCGGATGCGGGGCTCTGCCCTGGCTGATCCCAGGAAACTGAGACCATGGCCTGAGCCAAAGGCAGAGGCTTTAAGCCACTGAACCACCCAGGCACCCCTTCCCTGTGTATGTAAAACAGTTATTAGAAACAGGGTTAAAGTCCCCTCCTAACCTGCCATTTAACCTTATCCTTAAGAGAACAAAAGTCCAGAATTCTAAGATAGCTGTCTCTAGATGTAAAAACTGAACTCACATACAGGATAGAGGGCCTACTGGTTACTTCAGCTTCTCCCTCAGTCTAGAAGTACCTCCTCCATATATTTAAAGGCATACATCAAGAAAGAGGAAATGCAAAGGGTCTTTGCTCAGTAACCACTTCCAATTTTCATTTAATTAACACAGTAAGTTTGGCGCTGGTTTTTTTTGGGGGGGGCGGGGTGCAAAGTCTATTTTTTGTTTTAATGAAAACTACAATTTAAGATGTATCACATGACTTGGTAAGCTCAATGTTTACTAAGCCTATATCCATCAATGCACAGCACCAACTCCCCCCAAAATTATTCCAGTTATTTTCCCGTTAAGGGCGAATTTAAATGCGAGGTGCTCTCAACGACTTGACGCACAGCCTCCAGGATCTATTGCCCCGACTTCGGTGTGGCAGGGGCTAGCTTCTAGACCAGTTTTTAGACCGCCTTTTCTGAGCGCGCTCTTTCATACAACAGCTTTACTCCTGTCATTCCACCCAACCATTCTGCTCCTCCCCGCTCCTCTGGGTAGAAAAGATAATTGAGTCTCCTCCCCTGAGCCGCTGCCTTTCTTAACGCCACGCCGTTTTTAAAAAATGCTGCTTTAAAAAAAAAAAAAAATGCTGCTTCTTCCAGGCCGCTGGCACCTCTTCGGTCGTATTTCTCCTTTAGGAATAGCTGATATACCTACCTGAGGACCCCCTCCCCTTTCATTACACTCAGAACACCCAAGTTTACTTTTCGCGTCCCCAGACCTGCCCAGCACTGGCCTATCCACTCGACGCCCAGAGAACCCCAGGAGAATCACCATGCGCGTTCCTCCTTAAAGGAAACTGGGTTCCCCCGCGGGTGGGTGTCGGTCCCCGACCACACAGTCAGGAGCGCCCTGGGCGCCCAGGTTCCCCTGAACCCGAAGATCCGCCCACTGCCTCCCTCCTAGCCTCGCGCACATTAGACGCTGCATCAGTGACGACCCCATTTACCCCTCGGCGACACCCACCAGCGGGGCCGCTTCCTTCCTCTATGCTCCAGGGCTTGGCCCCGGCTCACCCCTTCTTCGCTTACTCTTCCTCCTCCGGGGACTCCCCGCCTCTCCGCAGCCCCGGGACGCTCACCAGACTCCTCACCCACCGACCCATTCCTCACCGATCTCTTTCTCGTTGACCCTCGGGGGAAAGCTGGCCATCTATGGGGCACCGTCTGATTCCGGGGGTGCGATGCGGATGCAACGACAGAGAAGGGATCGGCGAGCGCTGAGGGGCGTGACGCGGGCTCGGTCCCTCCCGGACCGGGGGACGGAGGGGAGGGGCGGGGGCGGAAGCGGGAGCCTCTGCCGACTCCCCCGGGAAAGCTCCGGAAGGCCTCTGACCAAACTACGGAGTCAAACACAGACAATAGACCCCGTTCCCTGCCACAAGCCTACGGACCAAAACGCTTCCTCCAACTCCGCCGATCGCAAACCAGACACTGGAGACAAAATGGCGGGCGACGCGAGAGATAGCAGGGCGGCGCGGGCGGGGTCTCGTGACGCCATCGCCCGAAGTCCCGCCCCCCGACGCTCGGGACGTGACGGCCTGGGCTCGGTGCCCCGCCCCCCGCCGGGTGCGCGCGGGCGTTTCAGCGAGGACCGGACAGGCTTGGGCAGGAAGAGCGCGGAGGCGAAGGCGGAATCCGGGGTGTATCCCCAGCCCACCCGAGGCCGGAACGCTGAGTCCGAGCTGCGCTTCTGGCTTGGTTTTGTTCCTCCCCTTCGCGGCCCCCGGAACGGTAGCGTGGTCTGTATTTCTAAGTTCAGATGCCTTCGAAAAGGCAAACGGGGAATCGTATAATACCTGTTAGCCTACCGCTCAAAGATGGAGTGGAATTTAAACATTTAAACTTGGACCAAAAAGAACAAAAAAGACATTTCAGATTTTACCCCGATTTGGCCACCTCCCTAGCCCTCACGTGCTTGATGCAAAAAATGAGATGAGAATGAACACCGATCGCGGTGCCCCAGCGGTGCGGACGGCGGTCATCCTGACCTGGCCGGCCAGTGTTTGCAAGGGTCGAGGTGACCAGGCGTGCGGGCGACCCACCCAGGCAGGGGACCTCCCTGCGCTGCCTTGTGCTGGCTGCTCCTGCATCCGGGCGGCCCCACAAGGCTCGGCCCTGCCCCGGCCTCTCCCGAGGCAGACCGGGTCGTGTCAGCTCAGACCGAGGTCTCTGGCAGGCAGCTAACTATTCACACAGGGCTAATGAAAGTGCCTGTCGGCCAAAGCCACGTTGCTTCCCGATCACGGATGACATACTTGCATTTTAAGGGGCCCTTCTGTGGTCTCTAATCCGTGTTCCACTGGAGGACATCTAAGGCTGGGAATTTCAAGTATGTGGCAGATACTGCTGGGAGAGGAGTTGCATGAGTCAGACTCTTCTGGGAGTTCTCAAATCACAGCACGTCAGGCAAGTCTACTTTTCTTTGCGTGTTAATTATTCCAATAGTGAAAGTTTAGTAGCAGGTTAAAGAAATCAACCCCTCTCTTTTATTTTCAGGCAACAAATTTATTGACGGCTTACTGTGTGCCCAGCACAGGGGCTAGTGGTTGAGTTTTTAGAATAGAACAATTTTAACGCAGTCTTGTGACTCGTATATCGGCATTTCTATCAGTCCCTTTTCATTGTTTTAACCAACTGCTAGTAGCTCTGTTTACTTATACTATACCCTACAAATTCATAGAAAATACCAGTTCTTGACTGCCTGAAATTCTTTGGTGGATTTTTTAGACAGTTGTTTAATTCCACTGTAGTTATTCCTGCTCTCCAACAAACTTCCTGACCATTTTCTCAAGCAAAGTAAAACAATGTAATGAAAAACAGTTTTACTATTTGTCCTCAATAGTGATAATATCTAATATTTTTTGTATCCATGCTACATGCTAGACACTGTTCCATGTAAGTGCTTTTATGGATTAACTAATTTAATACCCACAACAGTATGAGTAGCATATTAATCATTCACATTTTACACTTAGTAACTTGACAACAGGCACGGAGCTACTTAGAGGCAAAGTGCTAGATTTGAACCCAAACTTGTCTGACTATCCTGCCCTACTTCCATGCTATCTCATAAACGAAACCAAGCTTGAAAAGCAAATCTGTATCTGGCATCTCATAGCTTTGTTATTTTAATGTCAAATCTGAATGGCCATCTTATCCCCTGCATATCCCATATAGTGGAAGATTCTTCAGAGTTCTGTCCTTGACCCACAGCCTTTTTCTTCTTCCACACTAACCCTGGGTTATGGCAACTTCTTTTTTGGGTTTAACAACCAGCTAAGTCCAGACCTACCTGACCTCTCTCTTGAGCTTAAAATGTGCATATTCAGATACTTAGAATAAAGCTCAGCACTCCAAAACTGAATACATCATCTTCTCTCCCAAAGTTGCTCTTACCGTCTATATTCCCTATCCTAGTAAATATGTCCACCCAACCACCCAACCAGAGGTGGAGGCATTCTTTTTTTTTTTTTGACATTTTTAAAATTTATTTGACAGAGAGAGAGACATCACAAGTAGGCAGAGAGGCAGGGGGATGCAGGCTCCCTGCTGAGCAGAGAGCCTGATGCGGGGCTCAGTCCCAGGACCCTGAGATCATGACCTGAGCTGAAGGCAGAGGCTTAACCCACTGAGCAACCCAGGTGCCCCAAGGTGGAGGCATTCTTAGACTCCTCCACCTCTCCCTCAATCCACCAATTCTGCCCATATTTTCTCAAACTGATCTGGAATCTGTCCTCTCTGTTCCAGCTCAGCTGTCTCTGTCTTAGCTCAAGATTTTATCTCGTTATGTCATCTCTCTTAACAATCCTTTATAAACCTATCCCCTGAGAAACCACCATCAATACCTTGGTGTATTTCCTTCTAGTCTTTTAAAAATTTGACTAGCGCTGTGTCTGTGGGCGAATTATTTAGCCTCCCTATGCCTTAGTCTTCTCATCTATAAAATGGAGATAATAATAATACCTACTTCACAGTTTTGAGAATGAAGTGAATTTATCTGACACAGTGTCAGACACTAAGGGTAAGATACGTGTTAGATACTGTTTTTGTATATAGTAAGTAATCCCAGCTAACTGCAAAGCTGAGAGATCAAAATCTCATTAAAAAAAAAAATAAGGGATTGTCAAAGAGCCATTAAAATGGCCTTAAATATGTGTATAATCAAAATAATAAGTGGAAATTCTGGAAAAGACTCATTTCCAAAACAAAGCTGACCCAACCACTAAAAACCCATTCTCCTAAATCTCATTCTTGAGTTATTTAGAAAGCATTGCTGTTATGCAGTTAACTAGTAAGGCTGATTGACTATTTTGCTATGTAGATTTTTGCTATGTAGGTATAATTCTTTTTGAAATTTTTGAACCAGCATTTAGTATCTTGACATATAATTTAAAAAAATTATTTTAGCCTTCCTTGTTCCATCTCAGCAACAAGTTGTATTAACAGTCTGGTATTTTTATTTAGTTATACATCTTTAAGGGTGTGTTCTTTTCTATACCACCTTCTTATGCTGACAGGTGCATTAAGTAGAGAAATGGGGAGTAATAATTATTATATTCTTTTGTTCAAGGAGAATAAACATGTATTTATTTTTTACATGAATATGTAAATAATTAGAATGGCAGAGTAGATCACAATATAAAGTTTTGTGTGTTGCCTTTTTTCTTTCCTATATTATATTTTCCTATATTAATAAAAAAACCTTTTCACCAGGGGGGCCTGTCTGTATCAGTCTGTGGAGTGTGCAACTCTTGATCTCAGGGTCGTGAATGTGAGTCCCGTGTTGGGTGTGGATAAATTATAGATAAATTTCCTCCCATGTTGGGAGTAAATAAAATCTTCAAAATACAAAACAAGACTTTTCACCACATCATTGTGGTAAACTTAACATCACTGGGAGGTGAACTTTTCCCCTTCCTCTGCCAGAATATAGCACAGAAAGGTGGCCTTCTTCTGTAATTAACTTTTCATTACTCATATGGACATTGTAGGTGTATTTCCCTTCATGTCATGATTGTGTCCAGTTCACGACCGTGAACTGTTTTTGGAGAATACATAGTCTCCTAAGTAGGAATAATTCAAATGGATTCCTGCTATGCACCTACACAGATCTCCAAAGTTACAGGCAAACATCTTAAACAAAGAAATAAATAATCAACCTCTTAAATTGGGAAGGATTCTTGCAGGATCTTATTTCAGAACCTACATCTTGGTGAGAGGAAATCTAAGTGTCCCCTTCCTATAACTAAAAAGAAGCAATATTTACTGAAAGCAATAACCAAACATGACTAGGATTAAAAAAAAAAAAAAAAAAGGACCTAATAAATTGTCCAGCAGGGGCTTCAAGGTGAGCACCACCACCAGGAAAAAAAAAAAATCAAAATGCTAAATATTTAATATTCCCTAGTGTGGTTAAATCTCAAAGATGAAAAAGATTAGCATCGTTTTTTGACTCTATAATGATCACGACCAAACAAAAAAAGTTAATAGCAGTTTGGAAAGTCAGCGTTGCTTTAAGTAATAGGTGAGTTGCTCATTTGCTTGTGTTTGTATTTTGGACTTCTCTACTGGTACGGTGACTACAACTCTCCCAGGCTAAGCCTAAGAATTCATCCAAGTTTATTCAGTGCTTGAGTGCTAGGTTAGGAGTTTCACATCATGGGATTTATGGAGTTAAATCTGGGATTCTAGATTGAGAGTATGGAATTTGCTCCGGATTTAGCTAGACAGACATCATTTATACACATAAACCTGTACATTAATAACAGTAATAGACACCTCTGTAATTGTGGAACATGCTGGAAAAGTGATAGGACCCAGGGGAAAGCCCTGGAGGCTTTATGGTAGTCTTGCTGAGGATGAAACATCTATTGGTGTCCCCAGTTCCACCCGGATATCTTAGTTTTCACTTTTCTTCCTGATTTCACATTTTTTGTGGGCTGTTCTACAGTGTGGTATGAGCAGAATACTAGCACCAGGTTTTCAAAGATGAATAATTTGATCTTAGTTGACAGCTATACACAGAATGGCTCAGAGGTGTAGAAAATGTACAACCATCTAGATGTTTCTACATCTGTGTCTGAGCCAGAATGCTCCTGGCAGCTTATAGGAAATGACTGTATTACATTGAAAAGAACAAGCAGGAGGCCCCTGGCTCCAGTGTTCTGCAGGATTCCCTACTCTTGCTGCTGAGCCAACCCAGCTCCATCTGCTTCCGCTTCTTACCCCCAGACTCCCAGCGCTTACAAGCAGGCTGTGTCCTTTTAGCTCAGTCCTTGACCTTCAGGAGAAATCTGTATAAAATGGAATATTCCATGCTAGGATGGAGATTTTCCCCATACCAGTCATTTTTCTCTTCCTCTGGTAGAGCTTTGCATTTTCATTTTTCTGAATGTTTCTTTCTGTGACC